AGCGCGGCGTCCTGACCACTGACCTCTGCACTGTCCTTCCTCGCGGACCCACCGACGCCTTCACACCGCCGCACACAAAGTCTCTGGGCTCAGTTGACTTGGCAACACCGCAGAGTGTTGAGACGGCGACGGAAGATTAAGTGGCCAATCACGGCCTGAGCAGTGGGGTAATCATTCCACTTGGTAAAATGGGTGTCAGGATTACTCCGGCACTTTCTCACATCGCTGTGCAGGCTTTAATAGGGCGAGGATGTTTCCGGTGACTAGAGAGCTGTGGATTGGATTTAACAACAGTTTCCTACTGGCTGATTAATAATAGGGACCGAGGGCTCTAGATTAACAATCTAAGCTCATGGTCTAAAGTGCATTTAGGCCATGTCCAAATCCACTTTGTTAGTTTTACATGGGAAAAAAGGTTTCCGTGTGCCTCACTAAACAGGTGCAGTTTATTATGATCATGCTAAAGAGTGACGTACTTCTTAGTAAAAATTGCAGCTGCTTTCTGCTGCCTCATATAAATGTACCTGATCACACCTTATTTTAAGACCGACACGGCAATGGGCACTCCAATGGACGCACATTACTTTGCATGTAAACTTCTACTTAAACAACGCAGATGCTTAAATGTGAGAATTAGAATTATATGAACACAATTAGTGGGTCTTTATCACAAAGCTGTGAAGGCTATAATTATCAATTATTTACTTATATTAATAAGATAATGATATTTAGCACCCCTCTTCATCCCCCATCCCCCTTCACTGAACTACTATATATTGTAGATGTGCTATTGAGCAAGGCAGTCAACTCCCAGACACACTGAGTGACCTGCTAAATGTAGATGACTGTGGTTGTACTGAGCATCTCTCAGGGATGTATACGTGGACGTCAATGTGAGGCAAGGCACCTCTGCAGAACGTATCCTCACTTTATTTCCCTGGATAAATAAAGGTTAAAGGAAGGAATAAAAAATTAAAGTCCTTGCAGGAAGATAAATAGCTCTTTAATGTCAAGCAGACTGTGGTCCAGTACCTCCTTTCTTGGAGTGATTGTTAAAGTCGATTCCCACAGAGCAGAGGAGGGACAGAGGAGAGTATCGGCTATATCACTGCAGGAAGTTATAGAGCTGGTGCCAATGTGTACTTGTCAGTCTGCTCGTATTAGTCCTTAGTATGTATGTGAAACCAGCTCTGAGAGGAATACAGCAAAATGTTTGAATGTTTCATAGGTGGGACGGGATAGTTCAGTTCACCACAAGTGTGTTGAGCTAATACTGCTCCTCATCCTCATATTCCACTCTGCAGAGTTAATACAATATCCTAAACTAGGAATATCACCCTGTGGTTGTATGCCTCTGCCAACCAGTGCGGTTTCCTTCTACATACATTTTCCAGATTCTTTTAAGGTCACTGTAACCTTTGACCTGTGGCTACTGAAATCTAATCAGTTCATCTTTGAGTCCAAGGGAACATGTTGAGTTTATCATCACAGAGATTCAGAAAAACTAATATTCACATTTCTGAAGCTGGTACCAGAGTACCTTTGGACATTTCTGTTTAAAAATTGGCTTAAAACGGTTATGTGACTATCAAACTCTTGCAACCTCAGCATGAGAGCAGTGGTTGGTTTCTGGTTGTCTTCGGCAACTGCCGTGTTTAATCAGGGGTCAACAGGGGCCCGAGAACACATTTTTGCCCCCAGACCACCATCCTAAGGAGATAACTCCAACCTGTCTCCATCGCTGTGTTTGAGCATTAAATCATTTTCTTCTTCTCTGAGTCCCTGAATTCATTTTAAAAGACAGAGCAGAAGTGTTGTCTTAACCCTGTGCTATACCTCTGACCCTGAGCTGAACATCAGCTGCTGGTTTACCTTGTGGGTCTCTATCAAAGTAAACCAATCAATCACCAGGTTGTGCATTTAAGTTCTACAACACTACAGGGAATCATTTAAATGACCCAGAGCGTCTATAGCTAGCAGGAGGATTTAGTTTGTGTACATAGAGTAACATAGGCACATAGATACAGTACAGCCAATAAAACTGGTGCTGCTTAAATGTTTTAAAGTTAGATTTTTCTCTTTAAGTGTCTTTCATATTGTGTGATTATTCAGATCTGAGTAGTTTGGCTGGCACAATCACACTCAAATATGCAACTAGTCACTGGTGATGCTTTCAGACAATGAACTCTGTATATTCTCCTGAAATTTTGGAGGGGCTGTATGTGAGACCGCAAGTGTCCAAGTCAGTTGTCGTCTCCAGAGATTTTAATGCCAGTGCCCTAAAATGTACAGAAAATGTCTGAATGAACCCAAGTGAGAAAACAGCAGGGAAATGTCTGGAGGATTCACTATGAGTGAGTGTGCATGTTGATGACATCTTTAAAATACACAACAGAAGCAAAACTGGAAAACACTAAAAGAATAAAACTATCTCAAGTCGACTCAAGTGTCGATGTCCTGTAAACAAAAATGTGTTTTCCACAGATGAATATTATATTATATAATATAATATTATGTTTCCTGTATGGTCTACCCAAGTTTCTTTCGTTACTCGTTACTAATAATAACAATAACTAACTCTCTATACCACGTATTCCAGCCTGGCAGTTGAAGAATTTAAAAGAATGGCTTTAGACATATAACCTGTCCACTTTCTCTTTTTTCAGATCATATCAACATAAACCAATAAAAACAAAGTATAGTATCATATCTTAGGGAAATTTGTTCTAAATTCTGCCTGAGCCCATCTTCTCAATGAGCCTTAATCCTGCTACAGGTATAGAGCCAGAGGAAATTCAATTCTAGGCAAAGAGAAATGGAGCTGGCACACACGCAGTACGTTGGCTTACCTCCATAATGTTTACGCGTCACATCTGCAGCGTAGTCAACCGCTGCCCATGCAATTAGTGCTTGGCAAGAAGATTGAACATAGAGGGAGCGTATGTGAGCTGGAAGGTTTCACATTGCCACGACACAGCAGCCGAGACATGTTACACGTCCTACCCACAATGTCAGGTCTGGTCACATGTTCGTTTTTACATGCCGGTAAACATATTGTATACTCGTCCTTTTACAGATGAAAATAAAAATGCCTCTCGAGTCTGGCAGATGGCGCGGCTGACTTTCAAGAAATTCCACAAGCGAGTGCTTTCTGGAACTAAACGGGTGCTGCAAATCCTCTTAAAATCCTCTTAGACACCGTGGCAGCGGGGAGAAAGAGAAAAAGTTTTCTCCCGGGCAAACATGTGCAGGTTTGTTGGGTTGATGTCGTGCTCTGGGGGAAGGACACAGTCGACAGTTTATTTCTTCGAGGCTGGGAGAGAATATTAATACGACATGTACCCTACAGGACACACCGAACAACAAGATGGTGACGGGAAGCTTCAAGGAAAGACTTTGGAGAGCGGACGTGAACGGCTTAATTTGTTGGATATAAGACTTCAAGAGTATGATGCTTTACACATTATTCTGTGTTGTATTAGGACAGCAGAGGCAAATATCATTAGTTTCACAGTCAGTTATGCCTCTCATTAACCACCCCCTACTCACTACAGATAGATCTGCTCAACGGCCAAAGAAATAAAAGCCTTTCAGACAACACTGATGTTCTCTGCCCCAGTAACGACATCATTATTGCAGGACTATGACGTACAACAACAACAATGTTGGCCAGCGGAAAATCCCACAATACATTTTTTATGTTTATTTTACATTTAGTATTAATACTTTTATTGCCAAAAAGCACATTAAATGACCATGTATGAATAAACTTTGATGCGCTGCAGATTTGCCTCGTGCCAATCATAAAAAAAACAACTACACTACGCTAAAACTTAGAATCGATCTGTGCTTGCAAATACAAACCTGTCTGTCTTTATCCTCACAATAATTCATATATTTTTTAGAAGAATAAGAAGGAGTACAAGAGAGAGAAGGCTGAGCCGTGCTGCCCTCTCACCTCTTCCCCACTTTTACTCCTGTCCATGCTGCATGAGCAATGCATGATGGCATATATTGCTAGTCGACAGTTGTACACTACTTTTCACAATGCACTGTGGAAAGCAATGGGTCTACTGTATAGGTTATGATACAAACTTTTGGACAGCACTACAAAACAGCAAACTCACAATGTAATGATCAGTTAGTGATCTTGGACACAGCCCTGGACCGCTGGGATATAAAGTTCAGTCTCAATGCAAACAATAGTCAACAACTAAAACCAGTGCCACTATCTACTCAGCGCAGTTTTTGCATCCAATGAAATTCTGCAGCTGAAATGAAGTTTGTCAACAAGTGCCAGCCAACCCAGCCGCTGTGTCTTTAGGCTCTCCAATTTTCCTCAAGTTTCTCAAAAATGAGTTTCCTCGCTCTGATTGCTATTTACATATTTGGGTAAATGAGCATGGGATTGGGCGGTTTGTTTGTCAGTGCGCTCTTTGCTTTCCTATCTCCTTTGGGCAACAGATCGAATTAATGTTTGTAGACACTGTGATGCCACACATGAGGAAACAGGAGTTTTTTGCAAAATTACAAAACTCTGCCAATTACAGCTCTGCAAACACACGAGACGGTGGGAGAAAAAACTCATTAGGGTTGTGGTGCAGATTTCTCTTATGTTAGACAATGATTAGCTTAATTTACATGCTTTTCAATTAAAATAGACCAACAAACAGTTCACCCAGCACTCTGGCTTTGCAGAGCACAGAACACAACTGCTCCCACTCTCACATCTGTGATTTGTATTTTCACTACATGTGCTATTTTTGACAGTGTAAATGTCAGCAAGTGTTCACATGTCTTTATCAGCATTTCCACCATCTCTCCTTCCATCCCCACTCTGTTTATCTCCTATGTCCTTTCCTCCTTAATTACTTGTTGAAAGGTGTTTGGCTTTTCCCTGCACGCCTGCTGTTTTGGTCATTACAGGCCTCTGTAGGAAGTGAAGTGGCTGCCAAAGAAGCTTAGCAGAGGACGGGCGCAAGTGATGTGTCTGTACTCACCTGGGGTAAATGAGGACAAGTCTTCCTGCTGGCTTTGAGGCCTGTCCTCCCCTCAGGGGCCGTCCTGATGTTGAAGAGGGCCTGAAGAGCACATTGGGCCGCCTGGGTCTTGGCCAGCTTCTTGCTGCGACCGCAGCCCTCAAATATCCGCCCGTCCACGCGCACCGCCATCACAAAGCTATGCAGCCGTCGGCCTTCGGCTCGCTCCGAAAGGCAGGCGTAGCGCAGGCCCGGCCGGAGCTCATTTAACAACGCCACAGGACTCTTGGGGGCTTCGGGCTCTGGAACAATTCCACCCAGCCTCTGCTGCGCCTGCACCATCAGGTCCAAGGTGTGGCGAAGCAACCGTCCATGTCTCAGTAGCTCGCTCGATAGCAACTCGCTCTCAGCGGCGGAGTTGCAGAGCGAGAGGCCATCAGAGCAAGGCGAGGACTCAAATTCCTTAAAAAGTGTGTCAGGGATGTCCGCCTGGTCTGAGGTGAAGTCAGCGGAAGGATTGGAGATGTTTCCCATGGCGAGGTGAGCCTGAGGAGCGTTAGGGAACTGGATGAAAGACTTGAGGGCCAACTCTGCAGCCCTCATCTTAGCTTTCTTCTTTGTGGGGCCCGTGCCCTCGAAAGTCAGCCCATTCACCTCCACAGCGATGGAGAAGACCGGGGCATGCACGGGGCCTGTCTGCGATACCATGCGGTACTGCAGGCCCGGCCGCAGCTCATTCAACTGCACTAGAGCGTTCTTTGGAGCCTCAGACCAGGACAGTTTCTTATAGATGAGACGGAGGTGACAAAAGTGGCCATTGTTGTCTTCCTCCAGCGGCCGTTTCCTCTTCAGTCCAGAGCCGCCGCTTCTTGTAGAGTCGGAGCAGAAAAGCGACTGGCACTCTGCAGATCCTATGGTGCGATCCTCTAAGTTACCGATGTTACGGTTCTCCTTTACCTCTGCGCTGCTGGTACCTGCAATGAAAACAGCAAAAAGAGTATCATTCACTGTGATAAAAATGAACCTTAGAACACAATAAGGAAGAAAAGCATGTGACAATCACATTTATCCTGCCTGAACAAAATGAATCAAGGAAAATCTCTCAAGGCAGATTGAGCCACTTGACACACAATGAAATGGTAATGAACAAATCTAAAATCATGATTTCAGCCCACTTCATAACACAGGGCTCTATCATATTTAAGTGTTTTAAAATACAAATACAAATCCCCCTATAAATGGCGATGTTATCCGCCAAATCGTTCTGTAATCTGCCTCCAAATTGGTTCTGAATCTGTTATGCGAGTGGGAAACATTGGTCCCCGTGGCCAACGGCAACGCATCAATCCTATTTGTGATGGGAAGGGGTGTTGGCGTGGAGTGGTAGCCATTCTAGGAAAGAATGAGAGAAATGTCTGTGGCCCGCTTTATTTCACACTTGTATCCTTCGCGGGAGCAAAGTCTGAAAAGCTGTGATACGCTCTTCAAACCTAGTTACAGGGAAGTGGTGACGTGTTGCATTTCTGGTGGAATAAAACATGTTCGTTCAGATATCATCATGAAAATGTTATTGGTGAAAAGGGAGACAGATCAAGTTGTGGCATTCACTGGTGGGCTGATAGTAGTCCTAGAATAGATGAGTGTGCGGACGGGTATGTACTTATCTATTTCTAATTTATCATAAACACTCAACTTTAATATTTAATAGCTCACTTTTGTAAGATAATACAGATTTTAGCACACACGCTGACACCCAGGCACAATCAAATAGCCCATTTCCCAAATAATGAATTATGTGGGTGACAGGAAGATAATTTGCATATTAGGCCAACCACCGAGAGAGTTAGTGCAGTGTGCCATCAGAGAGAGAGAGAGAGAAAAGAAGCAGCAGCTTACTTAAACTGTCCTCGTCCTCTGTGCTGCTGGTCCCAGGGCTTATGTACTTGAAGGGAGCGATCAATGCTGACAGCATACTGACTTTCTCTGGAGGAGAGACAAGAGACACGCAGAGTCAACAAGAGGGCAGCGGCGGAGATGTTCTGATAGTTTTATCGATTAAAAGCCGCAGATCAGCGTTGTCCCAACACGGAGACAGAGACGGAGCTTAAGTGAGCGGGAGTATACATGCAAGGCTGCTCCTGTCACCCGCACATAAATCATAAATCATAAATCTCACACACACACACACACACACACACACACACACACACACACACACACACACACACACTATATTTGCCCCTAAGGCTGTCTGTTCTGCTTCATTTGTCGACAAGTTTCATTCACAAAAATGTTACTTTGAGGGATAGTTTACCCAAAAATGAAAATTCACTTATTATCTACTCACCCCAATGCTGATGGAGGGGTGGGTGAAAGTGTTTGAGTCCACAAAACACTTTATGTGTCTCAGGGGTAAACAGTGTTGCAGCCAAATCCAATACAATTAAAGTAACTGGTGATCACTTCTTTAAACGTATAAAAACAAAATGCTCCCATACTGCTCCTGTGGTGTGATCCAAGCCCCGACATTCAAATTCGACTCTAAACGGCGTCATTTACACCAAGTTTTTTGCCTGAATGTCGCTGATGTCCTCCTCCTAGTTACTGCAGCACTTTTCTTTCTGTTGTTTTTTTTATCCCCAGTTACTTCAATTGTATTGGATTTGGCTGCAACGCTGTTTACCCCTGAAACTCCAAAAGTGTTTTGACTCAGACACTTCACCCACCCCTCCATCGGCACAGTGGTGAGTAGATAATGAGTGCATTTAAATTTTTCACATTACACAAGGCTTCAAGTCGTTCTGTTGGAATCTTTTCTTAAGTAAAGTGGTCCTTAATGAATACATGTGAGATGAGAGAATATTACATACCCCAGTAGTGCAGTGTTATAACTGATGATGACACTGGACAGAGAGCTGCATAACAACCCTGATGATGATCTAGAGTAATCTATAGGTTATCTGCCAATAAAGTCACGGATTGTAAAAGAAGGGTCTTAGCAAATTGGCAGCCATGATGATGATGATGATGGACAGAGTATTCATTACCTTCAAGGAGGTTATGTTTTCACCCCTGTCAATTGTTTGTAGCGTTACGCAAAAACTACTGGATGGATAGCCATGAAACAAGGAAGGCCCCGGAAGATCAGGGAAGATCCATTCAACATAGTTTTTCTCTTTCTTTCACATAGAGAGGGGCATTTTTAACATTTTCATAGATTTCTCAGAGAATCTTTCATGGATATTTATGACAAATTTCCAAACAAAAATCTGTACCTAGCAAACGTAAATATGGTTTTGTAAGGAGCTGTTGGGCCTCGGCAGAGATATGCAACAGACTGAGCGCCTTTATACCTTTCACATATTGTAGTCTTAGCTGTGTATTTAGGAGATAAAGGCTTTACTATGTTACACGACGGTCCGGCCACTTACGCAATAATATGTCTGGACCACTCCCCCATTTCATTCATATCGAATAGAAAAGTTCCATCGTCAATTGTTTCTGTATAATTTACTGTCTGTATTAAATGGAACATAATTATTTTACAGGTGCTTTTTTCATTGTGGCTTGAACAATGAGTCTCAATCTCAAAAAAGTATTAAAAAAAACTTGTTTGCACCTCCTCATGAAAACTAATGACAGTGCTTTAGATTGAGTATTTAACTCTTGTGATATGATGGGTTTTTAATTGAATAACAATTCAAAAGCATACATGAAAAGATATTTGACATGTAAAGGTATTTCACTGTCATCCTGTGTCTGGCTTCTCTTCATTTAGACATTGAAAATCCTCCATACAGACCCAACACACGTGTGTTGGAAAACTTCCTCTCTTCATCAGCGCTAACTTGTCGACAGCAGCTCTCTCTCGTTTCTCCCTGGGGTCGGCTGCTGTCCAGGTGTGCGTGCTGTTTACAGTGTGAAGCCCTATTAGGGCCGTCGCTTGATCTGGCGCTCTCCATGCAGCGCTGAGCAGAATTGACAGACCAGTCTGCCTCCTTAATTACAGTCCCTCTCTTTCCCCAACATCAGCTGATAATCAATAAGAAGAGAAAGGTAAGGGGGGAGGAAACGGAGGTGGACAGGAGCAAGGGGAGGTGATGAAGTACGACAAAGCAAGAGGAGGAAATGGAGGTGGAATGAGTTGATGTTGATGTGTGGAAGGGAAGACGGTGAGGCTGAGGTCAAGACTCCCTCTAAACTCCACCGTCCTGCAGAAGTATTAAGGCTTGTAGCGGCGCCACCTTACAGTGCAATAAACACGTTTTGATAACGGCGAAAGGTTGAGAATGAGCTTGCCCCCCCCGGTGTTCTCTCTCACTGTTCACTAGAGGGCCTCAATGAGTCACTCTGACTCAGATGGATTCACTGTAAACACCGAGGCTCTAGCTGCACTGGTCCTCGTGGGCCAACATCACAATACAGGCATTTGCATTCTGACCTAATTACGGACTGAAGCCCATCACAAGCAGCAATTTGGCCCGACATGACTCCCTCGGCCAACAGGGTCATTATCCAGGCCATTTTCAAATCAGTCTATATTGTTTTTAGAGCCTATTTACAGTGAAAACATGGCTGTCTGCTGTGTTTACCAAAGTGGCAAAATTTGGAGTGGTTAAGTGTCTGTTGGCTGTTGCAGCATATTCCAACTCTTTCTTGTGCATTTTCTCTTTTGTGGAGAAAAAAGACAAACATAGATCAGGATGAAATTACACAGGAGGTCAGCAATTATCACACAGGAGCCTGAGCTTTCACACTGGGGCCTGTAATGCCTGTAATGCTTGTAATGTATGTTTGATAATCCTGTTTTGCCAAAAGGGTCTGAACCACCCACTCAGCTTCTGCCAAGTTAAATGGCCCAGTGGGCAAAGAGATACCAGTGCCTGGTGTAATCACATGCACACAGTGTGTATACACGTGAACATGTCATGAGTTTTAAAACCAGCTGCTACAGTTTAAACACATTTATTCTCTGCAGGAAATTCGCCAAAGTTGTGAAAATTCAGATCTACAGGTTGCAACACAAAAGCAGAAGCCAGCATGTATATATATATATATATATATATATATATATATATATATATGTATATCTTATTGATTTAAATCAATATATTGCCAAATATGAGCAGAGATGATTTATTGTTTCGGCTGTGGGTATTAACCTTTGACTGTATATAAAGATGGACGACATGCTACCCAGAAGTGAAGCCAAAGTCTCTCGGTGGCCTCACGGTGGTTGGCTGCTGTGTAGGTAATGAATCTTGCCTCCTCGCCGTTAGTGGATGGGACATGGACCAAACTAAGCAGTCAGAGCACACGTCAAACAGATTTTTTGAGCGATGAGGTTACGTACAAAATCAATGCAAAAATGTGAATAGATGTGAATTAGCTTCACCCGCTCGAGTTGAAATATCGACTTGAACTAGAGCGAAATATTTAAGTGACGCAATGTCTCAAAAGCGTGACATCCTGACCTATCAAAAATGAAAGACAAAATGATTGCTGCTGAATGTGTATGATACAACCAGCTCTATGATGATTTATATCAAGACTGGGCGAAGAAGTAGAGGGGCTTGGCAGGAAGTGAGGCAGGAAGTGGACTACCTGGTAAGTTCTGAAAATATGTATCTGTTATACACTGTTGGCCACAGTATAGCTGACCACAACAAAAAAGAAGTCACCAGAGTCATTCCTCTGGGAACCATGAATGTCTGACTGATGGTCAGGGGATAATTCATAAACTGACATCACCATCTCTGAAACACCAGAGATATAAAGAGGAAACAAATCCTCTGCACTATCCTCAGTGTTTGCTGATGTTTTGGACTCATCACTGGGCTCAGTAAAAGCCTGAATAGGCTCCTGTTGTATATTCAGAGGATATTTATTCAGGTGACTAAGTTCACAGTCAGGCGGGCAGTCAATAGAGCTTTTCTCTAAAGAGCTCTTCAGGTCTGTATAATTTCAAAAACAATTCTTCTCACTTTCAATGGACCACAGTTCATTTCAAATGTCTCAGGAAGCAGCTATTGAGTAGAAAATATCATGTTTTCAATAACACTGATGCTGAATCAACTGCACAGTTGTAAGCAGTGCAGTTTAGAGGTCATCCTCCAAATGCCACCTCTGATCGTTTTTTGACAGGTTTATGAAGCGCCAACTCAAGCACACTTGGCTCTGATTTATGACTGAGCTGTGTATAACATCAGAGGCAGTTTTTGTTGGTGTTTTCCAGTATGCGCTGTGATTGATTTTCCCAGAGAGATACAGCATATTTTCCGCCTTGTAAATTAAAATGCGCTGCACTGAGCTCACATAGAGCTGATTTATTTCATAATAAATGCTTTATTGTAGCAACAGTGTACAGATTTACGGAAGGAACCTTGATACTAACTTGATCTAAGATAAAAGATGGAAATAATAGAACTATTATTATAACAGTTGATGAAAGGAAATATATTTCTTCCTTACAGAGACTTTTCAAACATCAACCAATGTAGAGTTAAACCAGAAAAACAGTAGTTCATTTGTAATGATTACAGAATCTTGCCAAAATGTTCTTTCTTAAAATCCTTAGGATCAAGACTAAGGACAGTTGATACATTTAAGATAAAGACAATGTTTTACTTTAGAAAATACATCACAGTCAATACAAATAAAAATCTTCTTTTGTGTTTTTAGACTTTTTACAATGTACCCTCCAACGTCAGTGGAAAAACAAAATGCAGTTTCTTAATTAGAGACTCCATGAAGACTGTTGTATTTTGCATATCTATGTGTGTCTGGGAGGCTGTTAACCAGAAGTTCGGCAGTTTGATTCCCGTCTACAGAAACAGACAGACACGGAAAAAGAGATCATATTACTCCTATACCTTATCATCTCTGCACTGGCTCCCCATATAATCCCAAAAATAATTTGCTCCCATACAAGGCCATTAAAGATCAAGCACCATCGTACTGTCTCCCCAGTGCCTGGAGATAAT